GAGGATCCCAGTCCCGGTGTTCCCAGTTCCCGGATCCCAATCCATATTTGACCCCAGTCCATATTTGATCCCAGTCCATATTTGATCCCAGCCCATATTTGATCCCAATTTCTATTTGATCCCAATCCCTGTTTGACCCCAGTTCCTATTTCATCCCAATCCATATTTGATCCCAGCCCATACTTGATCCCAGCCCATATTTGATCCCAGCCCATACTTGATCCCAGCCCATATTTGATCCCAGTCCATATTTGATCACAATCCATATTTGATCCCAGCCCATATTTGATCCCAGCCCATACTTGATCCCAGTTCCTGTTTGATCCCAATCTATATTTGATCCCAGTTCCTATTTGATCCCAGTCCATATTTGATCCCAATCTATATTTTATCCCAGCCCATATTTGATCAAGACAAATGGAGCAAAATCCAACACAAGCATTTCACTGCCAGCCGTCAGAACTTTGAATCCTGGACAGGAAATTCAAATAACAATTGGGAAATAAAATATTTTAAAAATCAGGAGAGGGTCTTTGGGAAGAGAGGGGGCAACGGACTCAGGGCAGGGGTCAATGAAATCAAGGAAGGGGTCAATTAAATCAGGGGAGGGTCTTTGGTGGTCCCTGGACCAAGGGAGACACTGAGAGAGGAGAAGGCAAAGAGAGGCAGGAGAAAAAGGAGGAGACGAACTCAGTGAGGTGAGAACGTGGCACTCTGCAAACAGAACTGCACGGGACTGAGCATGGACGGGAGAGAAAGCAGTAAGTCTGAGAGTTTTATTGGGTATCAAATACATCTCACACCCCCAGCCCCACGCAATCCCCGTCCCTCCGCACTAAATTGGGATCCCACTTGTCCCAGTGTCATCCTAACCCCACGTCACCCTGGTGGCTTTGGAGTCGAGTGACTTTGGAAAGGGATGGAGGTTTTTTGAGGTGGGAAGAAGCCAATATGAGGTGGCCTTGAGCCTTAATTCCACAACTGAGTTGTTTTCAGTGGGACTGAGTTGTTCTGAAGTAACAGACCCATCCCACTTGGCTTTTGGACTGCAAAGATTGAGAAGAGAAAAACATGAATGACAAACCAAAAAGTGGAGCAGCCAGGTGTGCTCCCAGCATGGATCACAGGGAATGTGGGTCAGCAGGGCTGTGCCCAGCGTGGGTCCTGCAGTGGGGGATGGAGCTGGAGCAGCGCACGAAGCTCTTCCCGCACTCGGGGCACTCGCAGGGCTTCCCTCGCCGGTGCCTCCGTTGGTGTTGGGTCAAGGTGGATCTGTAAGAGAAGCTCTTCCCACACTCCCCACACTCGTAGGGCCTCTCCCCAGTGTGGATGCGCCGGTGGGTGACCAGGGTGGAGTTGTGCTTGAATCCCTTCCCGCAGTCGGGGCACCTGAAGGGCCTCTCCTCTGTGTGACTCTGATAGTGCAGGAGGAGATGGGAGCTGGTCTGAAACCTCTTCCTGCATTTATCACACTCGTAGGGCCTCTCCCCAGTGTGCATGCGCCGGTGCCTGATGAGGTGGGAGTTCCGCCTGAATCCCTTCCCGCAGTCCGGGCAGAGGAAGGGCCTCTCCTCTGTGTGACTCTGATAGTGCTGGAGGAGACTGGTGCTGGTCTGAAACCTCTTCCCACACTTGGAACACTCGTAGGGTCTCTCCCCCGTGTGGGTCCTCTGGTGCCTGATCAGGTTGGAGCTCAGGCTGAAGCTCATCCCACACTCGGAACACTCGAAAGGCCTCTCCCCAGTGTGGATCCTCTGGTGCACGATCAGGTTGGAGCTGTCGCTGCATCTCTTCCCACACTCCCCACACTCGTAGGGCCTCTC